ATTTTATTGTGATGGATCGTTATTTGAAAAGGTCTAATCAGAATCGGGAGATTTCTAATGACGATGGATTACGAAAGAAGAGGAAGAATAATCAAACGTTTAGAGAGAAATATACTAAAAAGTTTCCTTGTTTAGTATCAGGAAAAGAAAGCTTTGCAAAATGCACTATTTGTAATTCGGAATTCTCTATTGTCCACGGTGGATTGGATGATTGTTGCTGACATGTGATCGGTCCTAAAGATTGTGCTACTGCAAAAGCACAGGTGCATCAGCATCTTATTGACAATTTTTATTCTTCAAAATTAGAAGAAAATGGTGTGATTAAAGCTGAAGTATTGTTCATATGGTTTTTAATTGAGCACAATATTTAACTATCTGCTTCCGATCATTCTGGCGCCCTATTTAGAAAAATGTTCCCCGATTCCGACATTGCAAAGAAGTATGGGTGTGGACATACCAAGATGCAGGCAATAACTGTTTCCACTGCTGAGGGGATAAGAGAGAGTACTGTAAGTAAGCTCAGAACATCCTTATTTTCTCTTTCAACTGATGGAAGCAATGCATATTTGATAAAAAGCTGTATCCCTTAATTTTTAATTATTATGATGAAGAAAAGGGACAAATCGTATCATCACTGGTTTCTTTATGTGAATCAACTAACAACACTGGTGAGGGAATTTTTCAACTTCTTGATGGAGAGTTTAAAAAATATCTACTGAAGTGAGAGAGTTGCATAGTATTCAGTTCTGATAATGCTAGCACATTGACTGGATGTAATAAAGATGTTTTGAGCTATATAAAACAAAAGCAACCAAATATAAAATTCATTGAATGCCCTTGTCATTTGGTTCATCTAGCGGCTCAAAAAGCTACAGCATAATTGCCCCTTGATGTGGAGAATTTGGTGATAAACGTTTTTTACTAACTTGAAAAGAGTAATAAAAGTAAGTATGAATTTAAAATCTGTCAGATAGAATGTGATGTAAAACTTCACAAGATTTTAAAGCATGTTTCAACTCTGTGGTTAAGTTTGGAAAATTCTCTAAAGAGACTAGTTGAGCAGTGGGACCTGTTGCTAATTTTTTTTCATAGTCCGATGTTAAGGAGAATGCTAGCTCAGAAAAAATAAACAAGTTACTTAAATCAAGCAAAATAAAGATATATTGTGTTTTTGTTACATCGATATTGCCTGTAGTCACCAAGTTAAATGTTGCCCTGCAAAAAGAGCAACCTTCTATCCATACTTTGTATGATGATTTAATGAGCTTATATTATGAACTTCTTGTACGATTTGTTTCGCCTTCTACCATACGCAAATCCGAGTCTTCTCTGTTTCAAGTGAAATTTCAGAAACATAAATATCAAAAACTTGATGAGTCTCTTATAATAGGATCAAGTGCTAGATCTATTTTGAGTGATCTGACGCCAGAAGATATAACTGAGTTTTTTTTCATGCATGTAAATATGTTCTCAAAAAGTTTCCTTTAGAGGACGATTTTCTTAAGCATGCTTCTGTGGCAAACATTTTGAAGAGGCAGAATACAAATTTTGCATCCCTTAAATATTTGTATGATTTGTTTAATTGTGGTATTGACATTGATCAACCTGAGTTAGAATTTGCCTTTTATCAGGCAGGCAATTTTCCTTCTGAAATTTTAAATCTTACCAGAGTAGATGAGGCATGGCATAAAATTGGCCAGTTAAAGGATAACAATGGAATAAAGAGATATGTGGCTTGCCAAAAATAATGCTTTCAATTTTCTCAGTTCCAAATAGTAATGCTGGATCTAAGAGAATTTTTAACATGATTCCTAAAAATCAAACTGATAATCGCTCAAGTCTGAGTACGAGCATATCAAGTCTGAGTCTGAGCATATGGCGGTTTAAATACTATGTTTCTGTAATTAAGGGTATTTTTAATTAAAATCAGATTTGCTTATAGATTAGATTTCTTAATTAATGCTTTTACTCCTTAATTATAATAGATAATTCAAAGATTTGAAACAATTTAGCTATTGGTTAATGTCTATACAAATTCATTCCTCTTAAAGAATAAATTTTAATGTGTAAGCTTTATATGATATAAGTTTTTAAATATTGTTTTCTAATTCTGAAAGCTTTATTAGGAAGAAACTCATTTATATAATCCATTTTTCTTTCAATAAATTGGTATTGTTTTCTTGATTTAATTGCTTTAAAACTTGGTGTAAAAAATATTTAATAGGAAACATCTTAGACATCTTATTTTTCTTTGAAATTTTTATAAATATACAATAAAACTTTTACTTTCATTTGCAATTTATTAATTTTATGTCCTTAGAAAAGTGTACCTTCCTGTATGTGAATTAAAATTGTATCTAAATAACATGATTTTTTAAATGTCTATAGCATTTTAATTTTTTTAAAAATTTCTCAATGTGAAATAGCATTTTACGCGTTTCAAAATCTTTTCTTATATGCTTCAGCTGCTTTTTGAAATTATAAGTGAATATAATTAAGTATCAATATGAGCATAGCAAATATTGCGGGATGCTGTAAATGTGAGTTGCGTGAGTGCTACTGGTGGCTAGGTGGGCAAAGTTGGAGGGTATGCTGATATAGCATTGTGTAAAGAGTACATAGGGGGTTGCATAATATAATACAAAACTGCCGTGGCTGGAGATCTCTATAAATTAACAAGCTCAATAGTTGCCATGTGAAACTTTTATTATGTTATACTAGAATGTATAAGTAAAAATGTTTTGTTCAATAGTTAAGTTCAGATTTTAAAGAGAAAATTGTAAAAATTTTCAATTATCACGGTACACCTTAACTAAAATTAAATAAAAATGCTCTTACACCTAGAAAATTAGAAGAGATTCTGAATTTACAATGTTCTTAGATAATAAAAATCTAAAAATTAAAATAATCTGTGGAGAGATTTTTAAAAAAATCCACTTTGAACATCTTTGTTCACGAAGTACGATATTTCAAAAATGTTAGCATCATTTTATGCTTATAAATAGAAAAAAATTAACATATTTGTATTAAATAGTCGATGAACCACTATTTTAAAAACAAATAATAAAAACTTAAATCAACTTTAGCGACACAAGCACTGTGAAAGTAGCACTAGCACTGTGACCTTAAAAATGGCAGCTTCCATTCGTGTGTGCACATGAAGTAGAAAAGCAATTGAACCAGGATAAAAAACAAAACTTAATACCACAGCTCATTATTTCGACGATTATTTTGATTTTAAGGAATTTCCTTTCTTTTGTATAAAAGGCGATGAAGTCTCGAATGCTCCTGCGCTTGGAGTTAACTGCAAAGATGTTCCTGCTTTTGTTCAGTATGTGAAAAATAAACGAGATTTACTGGATGTTCACTTGGATATTAATGGAGGAGGTGGATTTTTAAAAATATGTCTTTCTGTACAATCAAATGAGTTGGACTTCGAGTGCAGCTGTAAGTGTGCTAAGTATGATGAGGGGATAGCTGCAAGGAAATTTAAGGATTCTGGAGTTAAACGACTATTCATTCTAGCAGCCGTTCTGAGTGCACAAGAAAATTATAAGAATGTAGATCAACTCATTTCAACACTGAATATAAGTCCTTTCCACGGCACAATTGCAACCGATTTGAAGTTAGCGAATATCTTAGCAGGTAGTCACACAGCAGCGCATACCCATGCACTTATTGTTATGCCAAGAAAGATGAGCTAAGCAGCTGTGGCGAATTGAGATCCCCCGAAAATGTTTCATCGTATTATACAAGTTGGCTAACTGAAGAAAAAGGTTAAAAAAACAAAGCGAAAGATTATTTCAATTGCATTCATCCACCGCTAATTGCAACTGTTGGAGGCAAAACATTCCTGGACATTATTCCACCGCCAGAATTACACCTTATGCTTGGTGTTGTTAACACTGTTTTCACGCATATGTTGAAAGAGTGTGAAAATGAATCGCTAACATGGACAAAAGCTTGTAATGTTTAGCGTGAAATCAGACGAGGATGTTCTGTGTTTAAAGGAAATGCATGCAAAACACTTTTGGATAAAGAAGAACTTCTGCACCAGTTTAAAAATGTAGCAATATTGAAGTACGTTAAAGTATTTGACGACTTAAAAAAAGTGGTTTCTGCATGCTTCGGAAATAATCTTGACCAAAATTCCAAAGCATGTATAAAAGTATTCAAAAAGAGCTACATGGACTTAGGTGTCAGTGTTACACCAAAGGTTCATGCAGTTTTTTTCCACATTGAACAAAACGTGACAAAAACGGTGAAAGATTCGCATTTTTTGGGGAGTAGGCGATGGAGTCCGTACATTTTGATTTCTTAAAGTCTTCCTGGGAAATTAATAAGGTTGCTGCAAATCACTCGGATTATTCTAAACACCTTTCGAGAGCTGTTTGTAGATATAATGCTTCACATGTTTAAATTGATGTAATTATAATTAAATTATGTTACATTTTCATATTTTATCAGCAGTAAAATGTTTAAATAATAAAAGTTCAATATAATTACAACTAAAAAATCATTATTATATCATTTTTTTTCCTTTCTATTGCTATAAAACAACGCCAGATTTTCCAAAATATCATACTTCGTGCGCAAGAATGTTCAAAGTGGATTTTTTTAAGTATCTCTCCACAGATTATTTTGATTTTTATTATCTGTTAACATTGTAAATTCAGAATCTCTTCTAATTTTCCAGGTGTAAGAACATTTTATTTAACTTTGGTTAAGGCGCACCGTGTTGTGGCTAAAATATTTCTGGACTGAAAATTAAACTAATTTAATAGGTCTGGTTATACTGTGGAGAAGGAAATAGCAGGTGCTCAAAATAGTTAATATCATTTTTAGAAGAGAGAACTCTTTTATTTTCTAAAAGAAAGAGTTCAATGTTGACTTGGTTAAACATATAAAGCTTTTTTAACTACCTTTATTGTATTTTAATTCAATGTATTTGTAATTGTTAATTTCATTGTTAATATTTTAATAAAATGTTTTTTTCGCAGGTACAATAAACTTTATAAAGGAAAATATCGATATACTAAAGATGGCCTGAGTAATTTAAAATATAAACGATTAGAAATAGTATTTAAAAAGCTTTACACTTGGGTGTTGGTGGAAATTGAGCCTATCAAGTAGATAAAATTCTTCTCTAATACTGGTATGTAAAAGTCAATAGACTATTTTCTGCTCTTATATTTTTGTGTGATTTTACTTTTAATATTTATATTAACTCTCTAAGTTGGTGTGAGCCACATTTAACGCTGGTATAATTTTCTAGATTAGATGGCTCAAAAAATCTGAAAATTCAAAATTAACCAGACTGTAGCCACCTAAATAACTAGATGTATGGTTTATATGAAACATAAAGTGTGTAAAATTTAACATAGTTTGTAAAGTGAAACGTAGATATAGTAATGTAGTTGAATCAACATGTAATAAACTCACTCTTCTCTTTAAATTAAATTATTTTTTAAAGTATAGTTTTACTAAGGCCAGGCCAAAAGTGAGTTTCATTCCTTCATACAAAATGTTTTTAAAATAATACATTGTTGAAATTTTGTGGCAACCTTAGAAACATTAATTTTACTGGGTGTAACATAGTGACTTTGATGCAATGCATAGCAATTGCATTCATATTGATAATTTAATTTATGAGTAGCTTCTTGCTAGCGAAATGTTGATATTTTTGAGAAGGTGCATTGCAGTGCAAGTGAATAAAAGAAAGTGCAATGTGCTTTGACAAATGTTGAATGTTGTTGAGGAATAAAACAAAATATAGCTTTAGTTTGGACATTTAGAATATGAAATTAAGTTAGGAACTCTTTTATAAAATTTTAAACTTTTTTTTGCTCCAATGGTATTTAAGTAATTGAATCCAACTAACTATATTAGAGGCTTGAATGCAGCAAATTTTTTTTTGTTATTGTTTGTTTTTAAAACTTTTTCTTACTTTTTTGATTTCAAATTTCATATTCGTATTTTATATTTCTTGTATATACTAAGTAATTAAGACATTTTTCGAACTTCTCTCTTGAATTTTTCTTTCCTTTTTGTGTATGATTTTTTTAAAACCATTAATGCAATGGTTGCTTTTCTTTTATAAAGTTTATTATTTATATACTGCAGTTTAAAATTTATATCATACATAACATCATATTCAGTTGTAACCATCAATATAATAAGTAGCATAACTTTTAAGTGATTTTAGTGTCACTGGTTATCTTTCTTTAAAATTTCAAAAGCTTATCTTAAACTGAGTCCTAAATTTAAAAACCTAACATAAACAAATAAAATCTTAGAACAGCAGTTACTAATCTATTTCAACCCATTTCCTTTCTTCACTATTGCTAAAGTTTATTTCCCATTTTTACTATTGCTCAAAGTTCATTCCTATCCTTCCAAAACTGTATACAGTAAAACCTTATGTTACAGACACTCCTACAAAATGGACACCTCTCATTATAGACATATTTTTTATTTCCTGTAAATCTTCTATGAATAAACCATTATGTAGCCTTTCCACAGAGTGGACACTCTCTTACCAAACATCAATTATGCTGCAAAAGGCGATTTTCTATCTTTTCAACTGGACAATTTTTCTAAATTTCGAAGAAAAAAAAAATATTTTTGCTTTATCCATAGCTATAAATATTGTTTAGCTATTTCACTACTGAAAAATCTATTATTCTCCTGCAATTATTCTAAAAGTAATTAACAATATACTTTGTTATTAGTGTACCCTTCCTGTAAACGACAACTCTCCTAAGCAGTCCGTTTTTTCGATCCCAAAAGTGTGCGCTTAACCAAGGTTTCACAGTATTACAGTGAAACCTTGTTTAGGTGGGCATTCTTGGAACCATAAAAATTGTCTATTTACAGGAAGGGTACCCCGATAACAAAGTTTAACACCGTAAAATTATTTAGAATATTTTAAAGGATATATAAATAATTAAATAATCTGCAATAACTATCTACATGGATATTTATTTAAACTTTAAAAAATATTCTTTTATATACGAAAAAGGAATATTTGAAAAAGTTTGATATAAATACATAATTCTAGATGTAGCTACAGATAAACAAATATAATTTTCCAATTTATACAGACATTCAAGTTAGTCATATGATACGGAATGGGAGCTTTTAGTTCTCAGTTGGTTTCACTTTTTAGATTTACACCCCCTAACACCTATCTATGACTTGATAGGAAATGTTAATACCTCCTTGAAAATATACCTCCCTCGATGCACAGGAAAAAAACACTGCATACCTGAGAGGCATGAGGACCTATGGAGTTGAGTATTCACAACTGATCATCTATCAAGTGTCTGAATGGGTGTTTCAATTATATGAGCAACTCAAAGATTATGTTTCTGTTCTCTTTTTTTACCCCAGCTGTGTAAAATACAGTCTTCAAATTGGTAAGAAAATGAAAGAAATTTTCAGTGGCAAAGAGGCATTTAGAGCATTGAAGACATCATTTCAAATTGAGGGGTCTCATGACTGTTGTCCTGATGAAAAGATCAAAAGATGCCGCTGTCCAAATTGTTTCACAAGAGTAGTATCATTTTCTCCCCTTTCTTTGCAAAGATAAGGCGAGGTGACAGGAGAAAGATTGATTCTGTAGTAGTGAAATAGCTTAAAAATATTATTAGTTATGGATAAGGCAAAAAATTTACATGCTTTAAAAATGGTGAAGAGTTGCATTTTTTTCCTTGCAACTCAAAGCAGATATAGTTTTTTCCTTTTCTTTTTTTTTCTTTTTTTCAAATTTAGAAAAATTAGCATCTGGTTTGAAGAGATCGAAAATAACTTTTCAGGGCAAAAATGATTGTCTGCTCTGCGGAGAATGTACATAATGGTTTATTCATAGAGGATTCACAAGGAATTAAAAATGTGTCTATATTGAGAGACGTCTGTTTTGCAGGAGTGTCCATAACAGGAGGTTTCACTGTATAAATATTTAGATCATATCTTAACATATTTTAGAATTTAAGCAACAAAAGTGCAGAAAGCTGTAGTGAATACTAACGTCTTAATTATTTTATCTATATTCACACACTAACATTAAAACCAAAATAAATTTTAATCACACTTGTTATAAAATATTATATTTTGTGTTGGTTTTCCCTTTCTTGTTCTCGTGAGAAACCATATCAAACATTGCAACGTTTTTTATTTTATCTTTTCTGTTCAACTTTTTTTGTTTACTCATAAAAGCTTTCACTGTAGTGAAGCCTGCCGAAAAGAATGTAATCAGACTGGCATCATTCCTTTCTTAAAACTATATTATTCTATATGGAGTAATTATCTCCAGGGTAGAAACTCTTGTTAAGGAACTTATCTATTAAAGCAGTGCTATTCTTTATAGGATTTTGATAGCTTCAAAATTTTTTCTTGAAGAAAAGAATAATTTGTTGAGAAGGACAACTTTGTTATTTAAGCAAAAAATATGCCAAATTTGTCATCCCAGAAAAATGTTTAAAGGCTATTTACTTTTAAACTTACTAATATACATATGAAAATTGTTCAGTAATGCTTTCTGAAAATTTTAATTGTTAGCTATAGCAGAAATATGTATGTATAAAGGGTTTGTCACAGTAATGTCAATGAGTCAGTTAAAAAACATTTATTGATCTGATGAGTACAGCAAGTAAAAAAGTTTCAAATAGGCTCATCCTGCATCATTAAAATGCTACCAAATTTCTAGGCATCACAATTGGTATGGTAGACTTTTAACTGAATGTTATTCAGAGCAAACCTTTTTTACTTAGACCGTTAGCTTCTTTGAATCAGCTAGAAAGCTAATCACAAAAAAGGCGGAGTAGCGAAGCTTTTCTTCACACACTTTATTTATCTGCAAATTCTAGTTAAAAGTCCTTTTTGTAATGTTTTTTGTCTCTGAAACACTTAAACAATTGTCTTTGTTCGAAATCATGTTCAGTTGCTTGTATAACGTTTTTGTTAGCAGTTGTCACTGAAAGCTTTCCAGAGCACAATCCACTGCTGACATCTTTATGCCCTTTGTGTGGCACTATGGACCTGCCATTCTTATAGCAATCATCATCAAATGTCATTTATATCCTGTGAAAATTTTCTGTGAACTTACCAAGATTGCCATAACAGTTGATAGTAATAATTTTGACTCATTAAGTTCTGCATGGGAGCTTGAATAACATATTCTGCAAATAGCATTCTTACTAACAGGATGATTGAAGAAGACTTAGTGACTGTGCACATATAATCTGAACCGGATCTGAGACTGTAGTGATATGTATTTGCTGCAGTGTAACTCCACTGGCATTTCTGGACAAACCCTATATATTTTATTAAAAATGCATTTGTCACAATTTTTCTTAATTTTTTAGGGGGAATAAATTGTGTTGGTTCCATTTCTCTGTTAAAGTTGTTCCAGTTCCATGCCATAGTATAAAATCAAATTTTACAGTTGGTGGTGCTCAATAATACATTTTTTTGTGAAATGTTTCTATGTAACCTTTAAATGAATTGTTCTGAATTCTTCATAAATTATTTATTAACTTTTCATTTTTTGGTTTGTGTTTCATACACATCATAAAAGTTATGTTAACTCATTTTTTTTATTGTACTCCATTTCATAAATTATTTCTTATTCAGAAATGAATTTCCATTTTAAATAGCATTCATTATTTTATTAGCTTTGTTTTATAGTCTTTACTACCATATTTAAATTGTTATTTAATCTTATTAAAATTTTGCATGTAATTTGAGAGGTTGTTTTAAAGGCTCTTTGTTAAAAATTAAAAAAAATAAATATCCATTAAAATTTGTGAATGTATTTAATACTGTGTTACTCAATAAAATAAGATTTCTTTACAAAAAAGGATTCAATACTGCAACTTTTAAAATATATCCTAAGAAAACTATTTACCAATGTATGCTATTAATCTTTACTGATTTATTTTTATACATGCTAAAAGAATTCCTATAAAAAAATTTCCCCTTGTCTTTTACAATATTTCAATTTAACCAATGTTGGTAATTGCTTTTGTGCTAAGTTATTTGAAAAAATATCAAAGATTTTTTATAATCGTATTATATTCACTTTTCTGTTCATTTTTGTTCTCAGAATACAATTTTACTTTATCAAAACAAACCCAAATTTATTCTAATTAGTCAATTTTGCAATTTTTTATTCAAATGTCATATATATATATCAAGAATATGTTTGTTTCACTTATTTCCATTGTTAGAATTTATTCTTTGCTTTTAGTTTTGCATGTATATTCCAATGTTAATTTCATAATTGTTTGCAAGAAGTTTTTTTTTTTTTTTTTTTTTTTTTTTTTTTTTTTTTTTTTTTTTTTTTTAAATTTGATCTATGCATTTTTAAAAGAATTTCATTGTATTCTAGTTCATATTAAAATGTTTTGTACGAGGAGGGGAACACATGAAGAAGTTTTAGATATCGTCAAGATTAAAATTAAATTTAGAGGCAAGAACTATCTTTTTAATATAAATTTTCAGTAAAAATACCTTAAAATTTTTTTATGATGAAACAAATTTTGCTGAAAACTTTCTGATGTATAAGTTATTATACAGTGTAGGACCCAAAATCCGGCACTCACGGGACCGACGGAATTCCATATTTCGGAATTTTCTGAATTTCGGATCTCTTTCGGAAATAAAAAACATAAAAACTTGATTTGTTTGGTAAATGTTTGATATTTGTAAGTGATACTTGCTATAACTATATATTTATATATTTCATAATTCATACTCGTTAAAAGGTTATACAAATTTCAAAAAAATTCAGTTTTAAACTTTTTATTGAATGTACTAACTATCAAGAATACTTTTTCAAAGTTTTAAATTAAATTGAATGAATTTATTTAAAATATACTTAAGAATTCTCTCATAGGATTTAACTGGTCTAAAACTAAAATAGAAAAATAAAGTTTCCTCATACACTACTTTTAAAGCAGTGGACACAATTTCTCAGAACTAATGTACCAATGTTGTTAAAATTGTGCAACTTACTTTACCAGGCAATGCGTTGTTATTGCTGGAGATGGAAAAATCATGGTCGCAAAAGGACTTGAGGGCATTACTATAAGGCAAAATTAATGATCCTCCAAGAGCCAAAGGGCGACTCAATGTAAAAAATGGCAATTAAAAATACTTTTGTCATTCTTCACCCAATAGCCAAATTTTTGCTGAAAATACACTATTTTTGTTCCAAAACACACGCCTTTCACCTCTTTTCATACAACGGTCTATAAAGCAGTTTTATTTGGTTAATGTGATAATAAGAAGAGAAATTGCTTTTGCTATTTTATGTTTGTGGAAATTGTAACTAAATGGATGAATAACAGCAAATGATTCTTTTAAGTATAACTATGAACTTGAAAAGCTTTTTCTGTGATCGTGAAATGATGGATTTTGCTTTGATTTCTAAGCATGCAATTCTAAGAAAAACTCTTCAAAGCTTTTTTTTTTCATACTTTTTTTTAAAGATTTATGGAGCTTAATTAATATTTTTTTTACTAAGGATTAATATAAACAAGAATATGCTGAATTTTTGTCCTCAAGCTTTTGCTCTCTCTTTGTAATTTTTTTATTAAGATAATACTATAATATTTTTTTAGAATTATCTTTTTATTAAATATTAAATTATTATGAATATTTTTAAAATGTTCTGAAAATAAACTTATTTTAAGCAAAAATTATTTAAAACATAAGATTGTTTTCTGATCTTTCTTTTTTTTTCTTGTAACATTTAAATATTTTATTTTCATTTATTTGTTTAATTTTTGTTTCATGTCAGTTTGCATTTGACTCTTCTTTTTTTTTTCATAGGATTTTCATTTTTAAAATGTTATAATTGTACATCACTTTTTAACCCTAGTTCAAAATCTCAGGAGAGCAGAATTTGGTTACCAAATGTAAAATTTGAGTTAATTTCATATTACTTTTTTAATTTATTGTTTTATAAATGAAGTATTTAATATTTTTTACTAGCACATCTGAAATATTTTTTTGGACCTTAGAATCAAAATACAATGCACAAAATATTAAATACCATTTCAAACATGAAATGTCTCAAATATATACCTTTGTGATTTTCAATTCATTTTTTTATTATGTTAATGCTTTAAAATCTTTTTACCGTCTGATGCTTTTCTCAAATGGCACATAAAGAATGTTTTCAATTGCGCGCTGTTCCATATAAAGAATAAAAAGTGACATATTGGTTTGCTCTGTGAGAAAGTATTTAGGTAAGAAGACTGACTGTTTTCAACTAAAAGGAGGATTTGAGGGTTAAAATGAAAATAGTTAGATATGTATCTTTCAAGGAATATCAAAAGTATCATTTTTTAAAGTATTCTTTGTTGATCGTGTTTTTTTTTTGTTCTCAAAGTAAACATGTAAAAAAATGAATGTTTTTTAGCTTTAAAAGTCTTCATTATATCAACTGTGGCTTCTGAACACATCTTAAAGCTATAAATAATAAATATTAATTGGTCATAAGAATCAAAATTTTTAACTGCTCTTGTGGTAAAACTTAAAACAACCTTTTTCAAACCCAAAACAGATTTTGTATTTGTTTATGCTACAGTCTCATAATGTAACATCTCATAAAACTTTTCTCAAACATTTTGTTTAATCAAATTTTCATTACAATAATTATACAGATAGTTTCATACATTGATCAAGAATGTTTTCTTATTATCTTCTGACTTTTAGCTATTATCAGTTTTTTAATATATAAGGTGGAAAGGTTGAGTTAAGTGGTTTTAGTGTTAGACTTATTACGAAAACGTGTTTCAATGATACTTCAGCTTGATTTTTAAGCCCGATGTCATTTAATCATTTTGTGTTAGTTAATTTATATTTATTACTAAAATGTATAATTTTTAAACAAATGGAGTTATTTAGAATTGAGCAGTAATATAAAATATCTTTAAATATTGAAATGGCATTTCATCATTTTTTCACTAGTACATATTAAATCATACACAAAATTTTTGCCCACTGAATACATTAAAAAAATAATTTCTTAGGCAGATTTTAATTTTAAATCTTAAACACATGAACTCAAACTAGTTTAGATATTAAATAAATAAAGAAAATCTAAAAGAACTGTCAACCAATTTATAGAAATTCACTCTTTTTCTCAATTTTGATATTAATATTTGTAATAAAATAGAATTCAAAAGCTAATTTAAATATTTTCTTATAATAGTTATAAATTTAAAAGTTAAATTTAAGAAGTATGATACTAAGAAGATATTTAGTGATTAAAAAATGCATTATTTAATTAAGAAATATATTGTCCATTCTATTTTTTTCTTTGAAATATAAAGATAAAGGAAAAGTACTATTAACTTTATTGCTCAGTAATCAACTAAAGTTAGATGATAGATAGTTGGATTTATTATTTTTAAATGTAATTTAATAAAATATTGTCTTCAAGCAAAAAAGATTTTAGGTTCATTTTCTTTTTCACTGTGACCACTTAAACTTCCCATTTACCAAACCCCACTCATTATTAATTAAACGTGGTAATAAAATGTTATAAAATAGTTATTTTGTAATTATAATGTTATAAAATAGTTATTTAGTTATTATAAGACATTTCTGAAAATATAGTTAAATGTATTTTTAAATACTTTAGTGTAAAAATAGAAAGAAAAAAATTACATTTCTTTACAATGTTTAGTTATTGCAATAAAAAAAAAAACTTTAGTTAATTGAAAAAGAAATTATGACATATGAACCCCGCATGTTTAACAACTGAATATATGAGTGTCTTAACCCACTGACATCTGCATGTAAAAAGTCGTATTTTAACCTGCAGTCTTCACCGCATCGGAAAACCGGTTTCTCTATGTTATTAGATAGGGGGATTAATTGGGGAGAAACATTCTCCTAATCTTGCCTTTTTGTTAAACCGCCAGTGGGTTAAACATTAATTATAATTTTATACACAAGTTTGATATGTTAAAGCAAAATGTATTTAATATTTTTCAACTATGTATCATCACAGATTTATAAATCTTAATATTTATGTTTGAAATGTTTTCCATATCTACCCATGATCATTTTCTAACATAAGTATCTCTTGTGATCAATATTTAACTATTCTTTTTTTTTTTTTTTAATTTTATACCCATGTGAACAAATATGTATCTTTCATTTATATAAACTGCTTTTTATTAGATCTATAGTAATTACTAATTTCTATACATTAGTTTCTTAGGTTTATTAGACTTATTTATCTATGGAAAAACAAAAAAAGTTTTTTTGTGTCTTTTCTATTTAAAATTAACTTTGTCTAAGTATGAATTCTATGTGTTATCAATTAAGGAATTAAAAGTGGCCACTAATTTAAGATAACTCTTTTATTGAGACACTATTTTTCACTGTGATATATTTTTATATTCTTACTAAAATAATGATTATATAATAGAGACATAATAAATGTAATACTCAGTCTTTTTAAACAGTTGTGGTGGACCGTAACTTCAACCCCACACAGTATTAGTTGTTAAGGGTAATGTTGTCTTATTACTGTCTCAAAACTTGTTATTTTATTATTTAAAGTACCAGTATATACAGTCGGACCCCGATTTAACGAATTCATCGGGACCGGAAATTTTATTCGTAAAATCGGGGCTCAAAAACATTTTTTTTGAACATATGTATTATTAAAAATTACTAGTAATAAACGACTATCTAAATATAATCTATAAATCATGAACTTTTATTCCTCAGATGAAAATATTATTACAATTATTGGTTACATTTTGACAAAAAACTGAGTTATGGCAGTTTGATGACTTCCCTGATCTTTTACCCGAAAAAGTTCCTTTTCAACTTTATGAAGATTATCAAAAACTACATCGTTCACTTCCTGCTGCATAAGGTATGTTTTAACAGTTTCTAAGCTACTTAAGGCTTGAGAAAATGGAACAATTTTAGCAGGAGCTTCATCATCGTTTTCATCCGAATCACTGTTCATAGTTTCCGACGAGTCAACACTTTCGATAACTTCAGTTGCACAGACAACCAATTCGTCATAGCATGTAGCGTAATCATTGAAGTCTATCCCAGGAGCAACTACTTCTGAAATGGGGACATCAACGTCGACTTCACCATTTTCTACTTGAGAGCCGAAAAATCCCTCATTCCGAAAACACTTTTCTATCGTACTCTTAGGAACTTGATCCCAAGATTGTCGCACTAGACAGAGTACATCCAAAACATTGATCCTGTATTTTTTATCCTCACTTTCATCTAAAGATTCTGTTATCTTTCTCATGAGTAACTTTCTGTAATTAACCTTAACAGATCAAATAATGCCAAGGTCTAGTGGTTGCAGAACACTCGTGCAATTCGCTGGGAAAAACAGCACCTTGATGTTAGTTAAGTTGGAAACTAGAGGATGAGCAGGACAACGATCGATAAACAAAATAATTTTTTTCTTCTGCATCCTCTTAGATTTGTGAAGGGCCCTCAAATATTCCGTGAATAGAGAGGAAGTCATCCACGACTTTTTGTTAGCAGCATAAGTGGTAGGTGAACTCTTGACGTTTTTGAAGCAACGCGGTTTTGCCGATCTGTCAATGACGAGTGGTTTTAACTTGTCAGTTCCATCTGCATTGGCTGTAAGCAAAACAGTTACTCTCATTTTGCTTTTCTATCCTCCAAAGCATTTTTCATTTTTATAGCAAAGCGTCTTGTCTGGTTGTAAATCATAAAACAGTCCAGTTTCGTCTGCATTGTAGATGTCTGATGGTGAATATCCTTCAATCAACTTTTGCAGCTTTTCTTTCCATTCCTTTACAACATTTTCGTCCACATCTGCCTTTTCGCCGCATATCTTCTTCTGACATAAATTATGTCGGTTCTTAAATCGGTCAATTCAACCATTCGATGCAGTAAAGTTTGTCACTCCTTACTTTTTGGCTAATTGAAGAGCCTTTTCTTTCATTAAAGGACCGCTGACAGCAATATTCTTGGAACGAACGATACTAAACCATTCTACCAGTTCCGATTCAAGAGCAGTAAGAGGGGTATCTTTCAATGATTTTCGACGACTTTTTCCCGACTTCAGCTGATCCTTTTTCGATTTCTTTGCGCTGTTTCACAATTGTTGCTAATGTCGACGCTGAGGTCCCAAGACGCTCTGCTAAAGCATTTTGCGGTCCGACGTTATTATCAAATTCTCTTGAAATTGAAATCTTTTCACTTAATGAAAAACGTTTTCGTTTTCTACTGGCATCTGCCATAATGGACAATGATTTGAAAATTCTAATCGTTCCGTACAGCTCGCTTTTTAAATTGGAGTAACGAGTTTCAAAATTCTCCCCTTTGCATTATGCGGCAACTAGAGCTAAGATAAGAAAGGAATTTCCTGTTTGACTCATAGCCCACGTGACAAACACCCGGAACATGACCTTGCAAGTGTAATGTGTTATTGACTCCGCCTACCTACCCACGACGAATTTTGTTTTTCCCTGTTGTGGGCTTTTGTTTGAGATGAATATGCACTTTTTCTATTTTATTCCTCCCAAGAAAGATTTTTTTCCTTTAGAATCTGCCAATTACAAAAAAAATGCAATATTTTTCTGATCAAAATTAATGAAAAATATTTTTCCGGATGCTGAAATAATTCGTTAATTCGGGGTTAATTATTCGTTAATTAGGGGTTTTTGACTCTGTTTTTGCTGGGGCTGAAAAAAAATTTTTAAATCGCGAAATTCGTTAAATAGAGGTTCGTTAAATCGGGGTCCGATTGTATGCTATTCTAAATTCCTACTATCTAAAAAATAGTACACGAGGATCACTTTGGTACTTCTAGTATTATAAATCAGACACAAAATGGTAGTTATATATGTATTTTTTTAACAAATTATGAATTTTCATATATGCATGATTTATTTTACTATTTTCTTTAAGATGTATGATTTCAAAGGTATGTGTAATAATTTGAATATTTTAATTGCTTCAATATGTATAACTAAAAAAAAAATGGTGCCAAAAATTGCATTTACTCTTTCCCTCTCCATTTTTACTCTAGCAGTCATATCAAGTTTCTGATGGTAAGTGTTTAAAAGCAGGATAAGCTCTTAAAAGAAATACATTTCTCTTATTGCCTTAGGGCAAAATTTAAAAAATTTGTGTTCAAGCTTGAAATAAGTTTCCTCATAAGATAATCATGACCTAATTTTTATTTAACGAGTTTTCTTTAAAAAATCAACTCACGCTGCTTTATATTTCAAAGTTATTTTTTTTAAATTTATGTCTGATAAGTGAAAAAATATCTCTTTCCCATCTTTATTTTTCGCTTATCAAACTTGGCATTTCAGAAACAAAAAATATATCAGTATTAAAATTCATTATTTTAGGAGCAAAATATAAATGCCGATTGAAAAATTTCTTCAACTTTTTTGTTATGAAAATATTTTTGTAAAAAAATGCAGCTTGCTCATTAAAATTAGACATGTAATTATTAATTTTTTTTTACTAAAATTTTACAGCAAGTTTCCAGTTTTAATTGAAGTACTTTTATTTACTTAAAAACTGAAATATCTGTCTGTGAAATCTTACCTAATCTTCAAGTAGTCATGTTCATATAAAGTCACATTTAACAGGGATGAGATTTTTTAGCTGATTTCCGCTTTTTTCCCTTTTATCTCTTGAATTTCAGCTTTTTTATCAAAAATTCAGATTTTTCTAAGAATTTCACTTTTTTTTTATAAGTATTCTGCTTTTTCAGAAAATTCACCCATTTTCAAAGAAAAACAGAAAATTCAAACTACATAGTTACCAATCCTTTCTAATTTTTACTTATTTTAGCTATTTTCTCCCCTTTTACTCGCAGCAGATAAGATTTTCCGAATTTTTTACCCGCCCTCCAGATAGATCCGATTTTTGTAGTTTAAACGACGCTGTTTCTGACAAGCCTTTTAGAGGTTCCATGCCTGGAATCTGCTAATATCTCGATTCTTATTCACACGATTTTAGTATCTAACATAGCTTTTCATATTTGTGTGTTGAGATTCTTATTCACGCGATTTGAATATTGTACGTCGTGCTTCGTATTTACGCCTTTTTAAAAACCTATGAAGCGATTCGTATTCCCGCAAGTTTAAAATTCAATGTCTTGATTTGCTCATGCTGTTTATAATATCAAACATTGATTTTCATTTATACGTGATTTTAAAATAAGGCATTGGGATTCGCATTCACGCATTCTAAAAATTATGCATCATAATTCTTATTTATGCAATCTAAAAATTACGCATCATGATTCGTATTTACGCGATCTAAAAATTATGAATCGGGATTTGTATTTACGCGTTTTAAAAATTCTATATCCCAGTTTGTATTTTCTCATTTTCAAAATCGTATATCTAGTTTCATATTCATGTGATTTCAAAATCCATAATTGTTATTCATATTCACACAATTTTAAGATCAACTCTCGCGATTCTTGTAAGAAGTAAATTTTTTTTAAAAATTAGTTACTATAAAAGTGACTGTTTTTCTAACGACGATTATTAGTATGTATATGTAAGTGTTACAACATCAGAGAAACTGGAAGGGAATATATTCAAAACTTACATTCTGTGCTAGCAAAGAAGAAAAAATAGGATTTGTCACAAAATGTTTGAAAATGGACTAACGACTAAATATAGCAAACATAAAAGATATAGGAAACAAAAGCAATAACTTAAAAAGGGATTTAATTTAATTTTTTTTTTTGGAAAAGAGTTAATTAACTCAATTAAAGAGTTAATTAACAAAATTCTTATGAAATAAAAAACAATTATCTAAACAGTTGCTGATGGTCATGTAATTTTTCAAACTAAAATAGCAATTTTTGTATGTTATGGAGTTAGTACTATATATTTCTACTTCACTGTTATTGATATGTTTCAAAGGGCTCTAGTTAGATTAAACTATAACATGAACATAATGATTTGGTCCATTGTTAAAGTTTTTTTTTCCCAATATAATTTAAAAAGTAATATTACTGATATATTTGCTATAAATCACATAACAGTATTTATTAAAAGATATGAAATATTAATGTATATTCTCAGTAGTTTTAATTTGCTAAACCAGGTAGTTTTTCAAGTAAGAATTGTCTCTTATGTGAACTGAGGAAAAATATAATTTCCAGCTTTATTTTTTCAATTGGTAATTTTTATTTTCACTAAATGTTAAGTATCAATGTAATCGTTTTTATAATAATAGATTAGTACGCACTTGTATGTCAACACATTATTTATTACCTTAAACTGTCTGGAATTTATTATTAAAGGGTTGCGCTTGCGTAAAATTTACTATCGTGGAAATTCAGCTTTTTTGCCTTTTGGCTAATCTCATCCCTGATTTAAGCTGCATAGTCACAGTAAAGCTTTCTTCCAAATTTGCCAGCATTCTTGAACACTAAAGTGATAAGACAATCACAAATCTCAGTTTTCTTTTTTTCAAAAAAATAAATATCCAAATTTAAATGAAAAGAAATATTTTTTATTAATTTATAATTTTTATTGAGAGACAGCCTTAAATATTTGTGTTAAAATTATTTTTTCCTGCAAGGTGTACAGAAGTTGATAAATCAGATTTGAATATGTAAAGTCTAATTTATCTTATGATTGATTGAACTCAGAATGACTGCAACTATTAACTTATAAGTAAGCAATAGGATAAAATGATGCTAAGGTTTTTAAAATTTATTATAAGTTTTAAGGAAAATAACCACCCATGTGTCATTCCTGTACGAATAACACCCTATAAAATTTATGAAATGTAGCCTTTTATTGTTGTTGTCTAATTAAAAAATTGGGGCAAACTTGAGTAACTTTCATTCATAAAATGTTTTAAGTATATTTTTTGCCATATACTGCATGTATTCTGATTTTCTTAGCATAGCTTTGTTGTACTTAAGTAATAATTTCTTCACCAGTTAGCTCTTTTGCCCGCTTTATGTTACTGTTAATATCGAAAAAAGACAGTCCTTCAGCATTCGTTTATTATCATCTTCATATTTGTTTTTTTGGCAGTGCAATAAATATAAGGAATCCAACATATTAAAATCAGTGTGAAGTTGTTTGTGCAGAAACATATTTTAAAAAAAAATTTTAAAAATTAAGAGAACTGAGGATAAGAGTATAAAATGAAACGTATTTTAATATTCACTTTATGAAAACTTAAATTTTCAAAAAGGGATCATTAGCTCATAAATGAAAAGAAACTGAGAATGAAAAGTTAAAAAAGGGAATGCTTTAATTCTATTTCTTTGCTGTT